CAGCAGGAAAAAAAAAAGACATAAGATATTTCTCACTAATGCTTTAATGCCTTTGTCTTAACAATGCATTTTGTCGACAAGTTTCTGCAGCAACTTTAATGTTTTTAATTCATATAGTGTATATGCAATCAAGAGTTGAAAGAGAAAATTTTCAAATCATGTTATATTCTTTGACAGTTGAAGAAACATGATTTTGATAGTACTTAGAAAAAAATGAGACACTGTATGAATTCTATGGTAATTATCCATGATAATTAACCAATAAACACTTCCAGGACATGTAGTCCTTTAGGCTGATAAAATGTCTTCGTTAGTTGCTACCCTGTGAATTTAATTGACTCCACAGTTTATGTCTTCAGTAGGAGGCAGTGAAGTCATAAAACAGAGTCACTGAATCCAGAATTTACAGTAGGTTTGACAGCTGATACAACTTTAGCATGCCATGTGAAGCCGGTGGATTGTCTCTCTTTCTTTCAGCTCAAAGTCTGATAATGACTGGGAGCTTTGTTAAGTCCAAACTGATACCATGTCATAACATCTATTATCACATCTATTATTTGTGCTCATCCAATGTGACTACCACAGCATTACAGTCTCAGGACAGCTGTACAAACAAAGAGGATGAAGGTAGTCATGCTCATGTGGAAATGACAAATTAGCTCAGTTAAAATGAACAGAATATTATGCCTGCTCTGCCATCTGATGCCAATAAATTCCTGTAGGATTTCAATGCCTTGTTAATTGTCTAGGTCAGGAACTACCCATGCCAAGACTATGGTCTGTTATTTTAGCATATCCTGGGCTTGACCTGCAGTAAGAAACTGACTTTTGGCAAAAAAATACTATTTTTTTTTTAATTAACTATGCTTCCTAACACTAAGACTGCAAGTATTTCAGAATCATGCAGCAAAGTATTTAATACTGTTTGGAAAAGGCAATGGCCAAGGTTATTTGGGATTACCTTTTTTGGTTGCCCGAGACACTGAAGGAGTACCTGTTTTTGAGAGTGCCCTGAACACTTAATTGTATGAAAGCACAATGTTTTAAAGGAGTCTTAACTGGAAATCAAAAAAACTGCTTCATGCTATTAGAGTGAATTCTGTCTTCCTTCTCAGTATCAATAAAGTCAAAATAAGTCCAGTTACTGCCTTCAATTTGGACAGTACCCTTTGTTAAAGGCTATGAATGTACCAGTGATGCATGAAATGCATTTACTTTCTGTTCACATGAACAAAAATGAAAATGCCCAGCAACTCCACAGAATCAGACTGTAGGCAAAGAATATAGTGCCCCTTTTTGTTCTGCACTGAGAAAGTAACCAGACTTTCTCATTTTACCAGGAGCAGGACAGAGAAAGGGAAGAAAGTAGAGCAGTTTGGGGGCAAGAGAGGAGTGCACACAAAGGCATTTGCAGGCAGATGTTTTCTTTTGTAATTTGCTTAGTGAGGTACTACTGCTACTCTACGCTCCGCCCATGTCCTCGCTTTTGCAAGAGCAGGTCTATTACACAGCAAAGCCACAGCTTCCAGGGCTTGTAGGGGTGTCCATTCCGGGAAGTTTCCATTCCTCCACTGTAACTGTGTAGGACTGGGACCAAAACCATTTTCACTGTAAGTCAAGGCTCCGGAATAAAGCTAAATGTTAACTTTATCAAGATGAGATAAATCTGTGAAAGCACAAAATTTGGCATTAAATGCACTCTCTTGTCTTTAATAGAATGAATTTTCCTGTGTCAGTGGGTTAAACTAGTATATGGCATGTACTTTATTCTCAGCTTGTTCAGAAACAGCAGATCGCAAAATTACTTTTCAGTTTTACGTAACTTCTTTTTTCTAGTCAGATTTTGAGCCAATTAAATGCAATAGTAACTTCTAGTCCTTGACTTTTCTCAGCATCTGGATCATGCTGCAAACTACTGTTAAATTCTGTGCTCTCTTATCACATTTTTCAATGATCCAATATGCTACAGGAACATAGCACCTGACGATGCAGCTTAGTATTCACAGTGATACTTTACTGAAGCACAACAAATGACAGTGAAGCACTGAAAACATTTTTCATGGTGTACTTTGTTTTGTGTTTTAACCCTGTGCAACCATGAAAAAAAAGTATCCAATAAGCCAGTGGGTGTCACTATTGTGTTAAACAAACACTGAACAAGAGCTAATTTGGCACTGAAACTCTTAAGAAACACTGTTAATGGTTGAAAGCAGAGAGCTGCAAATAGAGCATTTTAGACCACAAATAATTAACATCAGATTAGCTAATAAAATTAACTTTTGCTCTGATTCATTTTATTGAAACAAGTCACTGATTGGCAATTTTGGTTGATTCAAATTATGAAAAATAATGTTTTTGTAGAGTTTTGTCTTGCCTGATGTGGAAAAGCTTGCCAATCTGCAGCAACTGACAAAACCACTATTTTTAGTATGGTGGAACAGGGGAAGAAAAAGTATTAAGGAAAGAAAGATGCTCAAGAACGAAAGGAGGGATTAATTTAACAAGATCAAAACTTCCGAAAAATTTGGAAACATGTCTAATATGAAAAATTCTGATTTACAGATGCCGTAGCTGGACATTGTATATGAGAACAGCCTCAAAGAAACCTTACAGTGAGGAGAATAGAGTGATCCTGTTCCTATTCCACATTCTGGTAAGCAGGCTCCATTCCCTACCAGTTCAAATCCTAACTTCTGGAACCAGAGAACTGCCTACTGCTCTGCCCAGTTATAAAAAAAAATGTATGGTCTGCTTCAGATATAGATCTACAGGTCTCATT